AAAAGGTCGGGTAAAATGAGGTATTTTTCGGGTATAAATGGTTTTGGGTAGATTTCGTTTCGGGTTAAATCGAATTCAGATCTTGAGTTGTCAGGTTTTATTAGTTTCAGATAAATAATGAGTTGATACCAAGTTGGGTTTGGATCGTAAATTTCCGGGTAAAAACGATTTCAAGTTAAATTCGGATTGATTCCAGATCGAATTTGGATGAAAACTTTTCGGGTTCAACCAGTTCGAAAACAGTTCGGTTTTAGGTAAACCTTTTGAGTCGGGTAAGTTTTTGACACCTCTAATTTAGATGACGGAAGTGGTTGTTTAGATGATATTGAGGTTTAAAGCATTTTAAGAAGATGTATATACTTAAATTTGTTTCAAATATATATTACAACATTTTAATTTGACTATTTTTTTATATGATTAATAGCTACTCCCTCCGTCCCTAATTACATTCCTCTATGGAAATTTACACGGGAATTAAGGAGGGAAGAATAAGACAAATAACAATAATTAGATAATGCAATGGGAAGTACAAAGATTAGTTATTACTCATGACATGTCATCAATCATTTGCAAAAAAAAAAAAAGGACCAATCACATGCTCCTAATTGAAAATTTTTAACCAATTATATTCATTGTAATTTAGCACATGGATTATGAGTGAGATTAGGTAAGGATGAGTGAGAAAACATTAAATATAAAACAGAAAAAGAGAGTTGATTTACTAAAAAAACACTTACCAAAAATAGAAAAGAGGAATGTAATTTTAGAATACCAAAAATAGAAATAAGGAATGTAATTTAGGGACGGGGGGAGTAATTAAGAAAGAAAATAAAATCAACCAAAATAATTTTAATTAGTGCGGACTATTTGTCCATAAAAATTTTACTCCTTCCATCCCATAATTACAGGCAAATAACTCTTAAAAAGTACGGTTTTAAGGGGGATGGAAAAAGTAGAGGAATATTGTATGAAAAGGATAAAAAGTGAAGAATGTTGTATGAGAATAATAAAAAGTAAAGAATATTGTATGAAAAAGTTAAAAAGTAAGTAATGATTTTATTTTAAAAAGTAAAGAATATTGTATGAGGATCTTCCTCCTCAGGTAGTATTTTGCCTCTTCTTTTCTTAATAACGCTGAGACTTGGGGTTGCAAAATTCATTTTATTTTTGCTAGTATGATCTGGTTTGGTTTGATTTGATATGATATAATTTGATCTAATTGTCTAATTTGATACGTATTTAAAGATATTTAGCAATAAAAAAACCGTTTATAAAATGATGATCTGATTTAATTTATTATTTTTTTTTTTTTATAAATCTGATCTTATTTTTACTAAAATATATATATAAAAAATAATAATAAACTAAACAAGACCTTACTCTTAGGTAGTTGTTCACAAAAGTAATTTGAAAAGATTTCTAGAAGACAGGGCAGCTTTGCTTCCCCTTGCTATCCCTCTAAATCGAGGTTCTTCACTCTAAACCGAGTATCATCTCTAAACTGAGGTTATTAGTTTCTAATTACTTTGCTATACTTAATCAAAACACATCACCTATATTAGCACCGGCCTTCACTTATAATAACATTGATTAAGCAAAGCAAACATGAATATTGTCTCATACTCTAAATTACTCAACATACATAAATCTCATATAAATCAAATTCATATTATTACAAATCTATTAGGATCACCCTAGAAATGTTTTTTTTCCCTTATATATTATAAGCGTACAAATAAAGTCAAATTTTAGTTAAATTTGACAATCAGATCAAAAATAAGCTCGGATCAATAAATATTAAATGTTACAAATCTAATAAGACCCTACTTGATTTATTTTCTTATTATATATTAATGCATAAATTAGGTCAAAGATTAGTCAAATTAAACAATCAAATCATATCAAATTTATAAAGTTCACATCAAATTTAGTTCTCATTAGATAAGTAAAAATAAAGCGAAATAAACATAGCTATTATATGTGTCTTTGTACCTTGTGTACTTCATACTTATGACTTTATTGACTAATATTGTAATACAATTATAAGAAAAATTGAGGTGGTAATGTAAAAAATGACTATACTACATGGTGGTATTTTTCAAAATTTCCTAAAGTTAAAGAAATTAGATGATGTGTATATATTATGCATACCTAAGTATACACTAAGGGCCTGTTCTCATTGACTGAACTCAACTGAGCTGAGTTGAGCTGAGCTGAACTGAACTGACTTGAACTAAGTTGAGCTGAGCTGAACTGAACTGAACTAAATTGAAATGAAATGAATATTTTATAAGAGAAGGAAATTAGGAGCTGAAGTGAACTGAACTGAGCTGAATTTCAACGTAAGAGAACAAGCCCATAAGAGAAGGAAATTAGGAGCTGAAGTGAACTGAACTGAGCTGAACTGAACTGAACTGAACTCAGCTGAACTAAACTGAGCTGAATTTCAACGTAAGAGAACAAGCCCTAAGTATATATAAGTATAACTTATTCAAGAATTTTATATACTATGTACAATATATGAGCTGTATGTGAATCAAGTCTATACATTTGTTTGCTCATTCAATGGTTACAGGTGGCTGAGCTTATAAGGCAAGAGAAATCAATTAGCATCAGAAATATAGAGCAGCATTACGGAGAAGGCAGTAGCTTGGTCAAAGACGTCGCTAAGGTAGGGGCCACGGTTGTTGGAATAGTAACGTGGCACGGGGACTATGGGATGTGTGCAAGCTCATGTCCGGTGAAAGCTCTTCAGAAAGTTATGATCACTGTACCCTTCATTACAGTGGATCTGACAGGCATCAACTCCGAAACGGGGGTGCAGGCTGTATAATTAGAAATGAACAAGGAAACCTTGTAATCGCGGCAGTTTACAACCTTGATCATCTCTTCCCCAATGAATATAATGTTGCTATAGCTGAAGCAATTGCTTGGAGGAACGGGTTGAAGTTGGCCAAAACCAAAAACGTTAAACTAGATCGTATAAACGGTGATAATGAGGAGATCATTTTGCGCATGCTTGGCCTAGAGCCGAGGGCTCCTGGTTTCTCTTCCTTGAATGAGATTATCGACGAGATTCAAAAGACTCTACGTGAACTATCGATTAACCCTAGATCTCAGGTCCAACGCATTGGAAAAAAAGATAACAAAACAACTAATGTATTGGCATTTTCGGGGTCTGAACTTGGGTTGAATGAGGAAAAGAGTTATGTCAAGGAAGAAGATCTTCCTTTTAAGTTATATCAGTCATTCCAGGAAGATAAAAGAATTTGGAGGAATGGTGTCATGGACGGTGTTCACTATACACAGTACTAGTTTATATGTGTCAATATGTGTATTGTACCCTGGACTTTGGTACAATATGTAGTAAAGCTCTGTCGTCTGAATTGTTCAGTAATATAATGTACTAGTCTATTATGTGTTGTGTGTCGCCTGTCGTGTTCCAATGTGTGTATGGTACACCCTACAACGGACTATGGCTTTGTTGGCATGGTGTAAAGCTATGCCTTTAGAAGTGTTCAGTTGATTCAGCAAGATTAAATATTTACTGAATTGCTAAACATCGCCCGCGAATCTCCACATAAAGCCCACAAAATTAGAGTGAATTGTCACTTTTGCCCTCAAAGTAAAAAACACAATTTCTTCTCTCAATTCTCTACTTCCACTTTCTCTCTCTAAAAAACTTTCCGAGCGATGTCGAGGCGGCCCGGCAAGGAAGTGGCGGCACAGGCGGCGGGTGGACAGCGGTTTTCCGGCGAGAAGGTATTTTTTATTAATTTTGTGTTTAAAAATTAAAAAAAAAAGGTCGGAGGCGGTGGCGGCGCCTAGGCCAGACGCCACCACCACGGCGGCGGCGTCTAGCCCAGACGCCACTACCACGGCGGCGGCGCCTAGGCCAGACGCCGTGACGGTGGCGGTGGCGTCTGGCCCAGGCGCCAGAACCACGGCACCGGCGTCTGGCCTAGGCGCCGCCGCCTTTTTATTTTTTTTTTTTAATTTTTTTTTGGTTTTAAATTTGAAATTTAATTTTCGAAAATAATTATTTTTTTTTTGATTTTTTTTTAAATTTGTTTTTCTTTTTTTTAATTTTAAATTTTATGTTTCTGATTTTTTTTTATTTTGTTTTAAATTTTGTTGGTTTTTTTTAAAAAAATTTTATGTTCCTCTTTTTTTTTTTTAATTTTTAATTTTATGTTCTTGTTTATTGTTCTTGTTTTTTTTTTTTTTGAATTAGTTTTTTTACTTAAAAAAAATTTTATGTTCCCTTTTTTTGTTATAAATTTTTTTTAAAATTTTGATGTTCTTCTTTTTTTAAGTTTTTATAATTTTATATTTTTCACTTTGTTTTTTCCAATTTGTTTTTTTTGGGTAATTTTTTTTTTTGCTTTGTTTTATCCAATTTTTTATTTATTTATTTATTAGGTTATTAATTTTTTTATTTTTAGGTTGTTAATATTTTGTAATGTTTTTAATTTATTTTCCATCATATGTATATTGTTTTATTTATTTATTTTAATTACTTTTTTTATGTTTATATTACATGTTTATATTGCATATTACATGTTTTGTTATTTTGTGTTAGGCATCGTATTTTCGTTCTGGGGCTGGGAAGAGTATGGACATTATGAGAAGTACGATGAACTCAATGGAGAGCTCGGGGCCCAGACACGTTAGATCCCGTGGTATTTCGGCCTCGGCTCGTAGAGAACGGGTGCACTATTCTGAGGATGATGAAGATGATGATGGTGATGAGGAGGAGGAGGAGGAGGATGCAGATGAGGATGTGGACGATCAGAGTGGACCATATGATGATTACGGTCCATTCAGTCAGAGGCTTGATGATGTGTATGAGACGCGTAGGGTAGACGTGCGTAAGGGTAGAGATGGTAGATTTGTTAGTAGATCTGGCACATCATCTGCGTCCACTGTGTCTGTGGTTAGCAGAAAACGGTCGAGGGCCGTTAATGATTCTTGGGTGGTGAGGGGCGAGGTGGCTGGGGGACCTATAGACGGGAGTGTGATTCCTAGCTTTCTAGGACACATCGCTACCCGTATTTGGGAGGACCAAGAGCGGGCTTTGGATAGCGGCATTTTGAAATGCCAAACCCGGGAGAGGACTTGTAACTTCTTGTGTAGTTGGGCTGAGGCTTGGCCGGAGGAGAGCGAGATGGTCGGCCGATTGAGGGCCACTAGAGTGAGCCACCTTCCTGCCACCATGCATGAGAGGATTGACTCGACGCTGATCACGGCTTTCGTTGAGCGATGGCAGCCGGACACGAACTCTTTCCACCTTCCGTTCGGTGAGATGACGATCATGTTGCATGACGTCGAGGCCATCCTTGGGATTCCCGTAGAGGGAAACCGAGCATCTGTTGTCACAGATGCGGATCAGGCAGATTTATTGGCGGAGCTGTTGGCGGTGGATAGGGCTGCGCTGTACACAGCGGCACTTGGTGTGTGGGATCACGGCGGTGTTAAGATCGCAGCAGTTTTGCAGCGATGTTTGCACCCCACTTCACGTAGGACGCAGGACACACAGCTGGCTGCATATGTTTTTCTTCTTCTCGGGTGTACCTTGTTTCCGGATAAGAGCGGAAACAAGCTCAGGCCACGCGACATAGTTGACGCGTGTGAGCCCGACAGAGTAGGCCAGTTTTCTTGGGGGTCGGCTACATTAGCGTACATGTATCGCCAGTTAGGATTCTCGAGCCGGGCTGATGCGGCAGGTATCACTGGATGTATGACGTTGTTACAGACGTGGATATACGAGTATTTCCCGGCGTTTCGACCACACCGCGACCCGGTTCCTATTGGGGATGGCCAGCCACGTGCCTGTGCGTGGAGTCCGCGTGTCGAGAAGAAGTCCATTGACCGCCTGCGATCGATACGGTTATTGCTTGACAGGATGTCCCCATTAGAGGTAAAGTGTTTAAATTATTTCTACTTTTATAGTTTGATGTGTTTATTGTATGAATCTTACTAATTTTAAAAAATGTGCAGGTGAACTGGATGCCTTTCGGCCAGAACCCTAGTAATAGGGTACCCAGGACCCTCTACACGGGACTGATTCAGTATCGTGAGATCGTAGAGGCGTACATGCCGCAGCGCTGTCTTCGCCAGCTTGGATATGTCCAAGTTGTTCCTCCTCCACCAGCATGGCCCAGTAAGGCCGTCCGATCTGCGTCGTTGAAGGAGTACGTCGTCCAATGGCCGGCAAGCATGATTGGCACGTGGGAGCAGTTTCCGATGGTTGCCCGCATATGGATTGAGCAGTTGCAGCGGCCGCCAACTGGGGTGGCTGCCATGTGTGACCAGCACTACATGGAGTGGTACAACCGGCACTCGCACCCGAGGTTGATCAGAGACGTCCACCACGGCGACGACGCCGATGATGATGATGTGCCACCGCCCACTGCCGTGGATGCGGTACGTCTCATAAAACATTTGTAGTTGTGTTTTTTTTTCATATAATACGTCTCATAATACGTCGTTATTGAATTTTATGTGTTTTGTTATGTGTAGTGGATGGGAAAGATGACGCAGTTGGGACACAGACTTTTTGAGGAGAGGGACAACATGACGACTGCAACAGGCAGAGCTGTTATTGATGAACTGGAACGGGCCCTTGAGCAGTGGCAGTGGGCGTCACAGAGAGATTATTGATATGTCGGCAGTGCATTTATAAAACATTTTCCTAGTTGTTTGTAAAAGTTAACATTATCTGTTCTTATAATTATTATTTTAAGTTCTTAGAATTTGACATTATATTTTTAGTTTTTATAACTTTTATTTTAAGTTGTAATTAGTGGGCATACGAAAACTAAATACAGGTTCACATTTAAATGGGAAAACTAAATACGAAAATTAGAATCCGAAAATTAAATAAATGGGAAAAACATAGCAATAGCAATATTAGGTCACATAGAAAAGGCAACTAGATTGTTCCACTGCTGCACCCGGTCATGATATAACGCATCCCAGCCCTCTACGCTTGCTGTACGAATGGTGTACCACGTTGGTATAATCGGTGGGACCGGAAAATCGGGTGACAGGTCCAGTCGGATGAAATGTCTGTATGACGGCCCCAGAAATCCAATAGCAACCTCTCTTACCGGTCTGGTGACGGTCTCACGCGAACACCAAGGCAGAACCGTGGTACACGGATAGTAAGCTCGACCATGCAAACCAAGGCCGAAATGCATCACTGCACACTTGTAGATGTTTGCAACGGCGAAGAGATCAAGGGGCGCGTCGAACCAATGATTTTGACCGCAACGTCCTCCTCCCCACCGGATACGCTGCAGAGACCTATCCAAGTCCTGTCCGTACACGTGGCGATAAACAGCTCGGTTTGAGGCGATTTCACTGTACATCAACTGACGCACTAAACCGTAGTTGTCTTCACCCATCTGAAACACATCAGCCACAACCCGAAATCCACAGTTACCATCTGCAACCACATCATTCCACCCGTCCAGGAACGGCATCATGATGTTAGGGATCCTGTCTTTATATGGAAAATGTTCAATGTCCATTCTGCCTGTTGCACACATCAAAAAACACAATTAACAAGTTAGCAGAAAACTAAACAAACACTCTAAAAAGTAAATTAAACTAAAGTACCGTACCGGTGCCGGGCATATTCACCGACGAAGATGTTTGACTACCACTTGATGACGATGTACGACCACGGCCACGACCACGACCACGACCACGAATGTACTCAAACGCACTCCTTTCCCGCCGTGGTTGTCGGCCCCGTGGTCGCTCGACCCCCTCAGGTTCCTCATGATCCAAGCACGACGAGTTGAACATGTCATGAAGTACGTGGGTAGCACTACGAATGACTGAAGGGTGGCTGGAGGACACTTGGTCAAACATCGAACGAAACTGCTCCAACTCCTCCTGTTCACGGTTGACTGTCTGTGGAACAGCATGCTCTCTGATAACGAGCGTCCGCCAGAATGGATGAACCTGATCAACATGTAACGACGCCCTATCTTGCGTAATTACGCGGTGAATGGTGCATGCACAAGGTAGTCCATGAGTCACCGATATAGCACATCCGCACCGAATAGCCACTTCATCACCCAACTCCCTCATCCTGGTGTGCTCGCTCAGAATCAACCCCAAGCAGTAGTGTGACACACGACCATGGAGAATCTTAAATATGAAATGGCTATACATCGTGCCATGTCGCCGTCTGGAGTCCTCGAGAGAGTTCTTGATGCCGTTCCTCTGAGTATCAATAGCCTTGTTTATTCTCTCGAACAGTGTATCCAGAGCAGAGGTGGAAGAATCAATCCAGTCCTTCAGAGCTCTATGAGCGCTCTCAACTCTACATGTAGTAGTGTTTCCAAAATGAAGAACTTGGTTTGTCCAATATTTGACAAACTTTTCCCTCTGAGGCACCCACTGCTGCATCACATAGTCTACGATTGCCGGGCACCATTGGTATGCATCCTTGAAGTTATCCAAGGCTCGGTCGTACTCTGCCTCCGTGGTAGCTTGCAGGATCTTCCGCCACTTACCATTTACCAATCTCTCTGCTGAATCTAAGTTCTTGTTGAAAAGGTTGTAGGCTTTGACTTTCACGCATTTGTTGATGTGCCATGTGCACAGTAAATGGCTCGACTCCGGAAACAGCTCCGCTATAGGGGCAAAGAGACCTCCCTCACAATCGCTGACGATGGCCGATGGCTGAACACTTGGGCCGATGTAATTTCTCAACTTCTCCAACACCCAACGGTAACTCGCAACCGTCTCATCCTTCATAACTGCATAACCAATCAAAAAGTTCTGGTTCGTTGGAGTCATCCCAACCATCTCAACCAGTGGAAACTTATACTTGTTTGTCTTGTACGTTGAATCGATCAGAATCACAGATGGCCAAGACGAAATCATATCAGCACAATCAGGATGCACAAGGAACAAATGAGTCACCTCCGATGTGTCTTCATCAGATTCAAACCAGTACAGGTAACCACGTGCTTGTGCCTGGTGTAGAAGCTGCTGTATAGGGTTCCTTCCCTCTGACCGTTCAAACCTCAATTTATGTCTGACGTTGTAGATGTGTCTTCGGTTTGGCTGGTCTTCAGGAAATTTCTCCAACACAGATGCTAATATTTTAGCAGGCTTCACTTGAGCATCACTCATTTCTTTTACAATTAGTTTCGCAGCAGGACTTAGGCCACTTAACTGTCGATGACCCACTTCATATGCGATCATCTCATGGTTGTGATACCCCCATTTACCGTAACTCTTCACTTCCCAACCGTCACCCCTTTGCTGTTGTCGAACCTTTACTCTGAACTGACACCCACAACCTTTCCGCTTTGTATCAAACCGAATCGCTTGACTGAAATCTCGTTCCTCCCTTTTGCGATAACGGTCGCATCTCAAAATGCGATCCATTCTACCATCCCGTTGAGATTTATGAGTTGCTACTACTAAACAAAAACCTGATCTAATTGCAACCTGTTTCGCCCAATCAACCGCTTGTTGAGCATCTTCGAACAGACCATCGTGTACAAAAATCCCACTATAATCATTTCCGTCTCCACCATAATCCTGCAACAATAACATATAAATATAATCACATAAGAGTAGATTAAATTAATACATTTGACACAACATTAGCACAAAAGCAAAAACAATAATAAATTATAAACAACAAACAAAGAAATAAACAAAAAGTATTCAAAAAAAAAAAAAAAACAAAACACAAAAATAAAAAACATAAACAAAACTTTAGATTAAATAAATAAAAATAAACCAAAAAAATAAAAACAAAAAAAAACATAAAACGAAAAAAATTGTAAAAAAAATAATAAAAAATAAATAAATTAAAAACAAAAACAAATTAAAACAATTAAAAACAAAACAAAAAAAAAACCAAAAAAAAAAGAAAAAAATTGTAACACAAAAAAAAAAAATAAACAAATTTTAAATTAAATTAAAAAAAAAAAAAAAAAAAAATAGTGGTGGCGCCTAGCCAGGACGCCGCCACCGTGGCGGTGGCGTCTAGCCAGGACGCCGCCACCGTGGCGGTGGCGCCTGGCCAGGACGCCGCCACCGTGGCGGCGGCGTCTTGGCCAAACGCCATGGCCACGGTGGCGGCGTCCTGGCCAGGCGCCAGAGCCACGGTGGCGGCGTCCTGGCTAGGCGCCACCACTACGGTCACGGCGTCCCGGCAGGACACCAGCCGCCAATTCGTGGTTTTAGATGGCTTCGTACCTCCTTTTCCGGCGTCAACGGCGTCTCTCCGGTGCATCTACCCGACGTTGAGGGCTCTTCGGTTTCACTCGGCGATCCAGTCCTGCTCCACATTTTTTATGAGTGAAAAATTTTATTTTCGGTAAAAATTAAAACAAGGGCAATAATGTCAACATTTTTAAAAAATGTGGGCTTTATGTAGAAAAACGCGGGCGATGTTTAACAAATCCCAATATTTAAGGGGTCGGACTTACTTTGGTATGAGCGTTGCCTTGGGGTGATAAGTTGATTCAGCAAGATCAATATATGTTTTAGGGAAGTGACTTTTAAATTAGTAGTTTATGTTTTTGTAATTTGTGAGTGTTTTGTTAACGTGTAATGAAGGCTTAATATAAACTCTTTGTTGTTACTAAAATGTACTACTATAGGTATGAAAAACATAAACACAGCAAATAGATTGTCTGGTCTCTTTGATGATTTGAAGACCATGTTCTAATTACAAAAATTGGCCCTAAAATGTTTAAAAAATTATTTTTTTAAATGACTTTTTTTTTAACAAGATACAAATGTTTAATGTTACTAAGGGTCTGTTCACATTTACTATACTGAGCTGAACTGAATTATATTGAGCTGAAATGAATATTTTATGAGAGAAGAAAATTAAGAGTTGAACTGAACCGAACTGAACTGATTGGAGTCAAACTGAACCGAACTGAAATTAAGGTGAAGTGAATAGATTCTAAGAAATTGTCAAATACTAGTATTATATCTTCATAATACGAGTACATTGTTTCCAAAATTTTATTCCAATTCTCTCGTTGATGGACATCAGAATTTACAATTGAGAATAGATTACTCCTCTAATTTTGCCTAAAAACAGTGGTAATCTAGTATTAAGTGAATTAGCTAGCCATTTAAGAAAGAGATAATTAAGAAAGTTCACTTTTATTTAGAAATTCAAAAACAAAAGTCAAAAGCATTAACTTTGGAAAAGAAAGAAAAATTGGAAGAGTTGGATTTTGTTTGGAAATTGGTGGGCTTGTTTTACGGGGAAGATGATGAGGCGGAGATATTTTAGGCGGAGATATTTTAAGTTATTTTTTTTTAAGTTAGGCCATGTTCTTTTCACCTTAAAACAATAATATTAAGTAAAAATAATTTCATTTCAGTAAAAATAATTTCAGTTCATTAAAAATAATTTCAGTTCAGTAAAAATAATTTCAGTTCAGTAAAAATAAGTTCAGTTCAGTAAAATTCAGTTTTCTTAAAGAAGAATTATAATAGAAAATTAGTAAAAATAATTTAAGTTCAGTAAAAATAATTTCAGTTCAGTAAAAATAATTTCAGTTCAGTAAAAATAATTTCAGTTCATTAAAATTAAGTTCAGTTCAGTAAAAATAAGTTCAGTAAAAATAATTTCAGTTCAGTAAAATTAAGGTGAATCAAACAGGGCCTTAGAGTGTTGAATGATTTTCGGGGCCTTGTTATGTGGACCCGAAAAAATCAAGATGATGGATCGACTGATCGAGTAATGACTTGAATGTATCAGTACCTAACCTGATATTTCACTTGGTTCATCCATCATCTACCCGAACCAACCTGTTTCAATTCAAATTTTCATCCATATTTTTGAATCGAGTGGATGGTTATCCATCCCACTAAATATTTTGTGACATTATGAGTAAAAGAAGTTTCTCACGTCTGATTAGCATCATTACAATTGAATCATCCTTCAAAATGTCGTTGACGTCACTATTATATTTTAGTGTTTAGGTGTCATTCACTTAAATTTAAGGATTAATTAATTTAATCATCATCAAAAGAAGCCCACTCCTACTCATCATAGTACGAAAAAGCAATTCTCTATAGAAACTCTTTATTCTGCTTGTCGGAACACTGGATATCTTACTATCGAAGTCTACCATTAGTCCACTCTCATCTTTGATTGATCGTCCTAAATTCATTTAAAAACTTAATCCCTTCATTATAATATTGTAAAGTATATGTCCACCCCTTTGATATTAAGTGGTTTTTGATAGCCTTATGTTTTTTTTAAGTGGTTTGGGCACCAGTATGGTAACCAAGAGGCCAAGGGGGTTAATTATATAAGAAGTACTCCGTACAAAGTATTAATTAGTGTGTATAATGCAAATTTCCAAATTTCAATGTACTTTCTTTATTTTTAAATATTTGCTTTATTTTTCTATATGCGGAGTTTTAGAAGAAATTGAAAATATATATATATATATATATATATATATATATATATATAAAAAGGTGTTTTTTTTTTTTTTTTTTGAAACAAGGTGTTGGGGTTAATGGAAGGTAAATTGGGGGAGAGAAGATCTAAAAGTTGTAAATTGGGTCTCACTATTTGAGAAAAATGAATTAATATTATAAAATCTTTTCAAATAAGAAAATGGAATATGTATTTAAAAACGGCCGCAAAAAAAAAGTGGAATAAATATTTAAAAATGAAGGATGTATCAAATATTACTATATTAGTACTTCGTATTGTATTTACTGAGACACTGAATACTTCTACTTCTATTTTGTTTGACTTCTTAAAAGGTGCACAATTTCCAAATTCTAACGTATCAAAGCATTGAAGACTTTTTTTTTAAAAAAAAAAATTAGGATTGAAGACTTTTAATTTCAATGAGAATTTCAAGCTCTAATTTAAAGCTAATACAAAGTCTCGATACAAATTACAACGGAGGGAGTATGCATTCAACCTTTGGCTTTCCCATATCTTGAAAGACTTTTTACAATTTTTTCGTTTTGTTTATGTCCAATTTATAGTAAATCAAACTATACTCCCTTTAATATTTTAAGTGCCTTATTGAGAGTTTTGACACTATTTATTATACTTTGATAATTTTAATATAAATTATACTCCCTCCGTCTCCGAAAAAACGACGCATTTGGGTTGATTATACGGGTATTAAGAAAGTTAAAAAAAAGAAGTAAAAGTATAGGGTTATACGCATTTATTATACGCATTTGGGTTAATACTTCCTCCATTTCATTATAATCGCAACACTTGAATTGAACACATTATTAAATACTCCATACTAGAGGAAGAGTGGACAAAATATAAATAAAGTAGGTTTGAAAAGTTGTATTTTACAGGAAGTAGTATTTATCCTATTTGGTGAAATGGAGAAAACATATGATTTGAAAAATCAATTACTGTATTTTATCATATGAATACATACTGTTACTGTACAATAATAGATTTATGGTATTAAATGAGCATATTTTATAACTGAGTGCAAATAAAATTTATCAGAGATTTGATGTATATATACTACGTATTTTTTTGTACATATTTTTTTTTAATTTTTCTACAGACTTGGAAAAAAAGCTAGGTCAATATTGAATTTGTACACATACTACTCATCCTTTTCATTAAAGAATAATACATGATTAATGGGCCTTTGGACCATTTAACCGGACAGGCTGGTGCGGCCTAGAATGCAACCCTTGGACCAACTGAACCCTGGACCAATGGACCTAGGCTTGGACTTGATAGACTCCAAATGTGGTAGATCTAGAGAGAATAGCTCTTTGATTCCAATTGATTGCTCTTTTCATTAGGTTTCACAATCTTTGATTGGCATGATCTTCCCAAGTTGTTGCAATTGACATGATTACTTGTTGATCCCCGTTCCTAGTGTTTTATTTGTTTGGTTGCTTGTTTTGTTAGTTGTTAGTGTTACTTCTTACCTTCGATTTCGACCTAGCTTAGGCGCATAATTGATAGTGCTTGAACATTACAGTTTCTTTGGGTTTGACCCTTAACTTGCCTCCATAATCATATTTAGGTTTGTTAAGTGTTTATAAATTAACTTTGACCGAGGGAAGATTATATAACGACCTAGTTTTCCCCTCGTCAAACTATTTGGCCTTCCAAGCAAGCAAAAGGTATAAGATTCTTAGGGGAAATTTTTAATACAAGGTGGCCAAACACTAATAAAATACTCCTTTAGTAGTACTATAAGTAAATGCTAATTAGCACCATTTCAACATCCAAAACTCAACCAAAACTCTCAAAACAATCAACCAAAACTCTCAAACTTAAAAAGATGAGCAATAATCAATGGTCAATTTTAAGGGGAAGTACATATGGAAAAATGTACACACTTTATTTTGATGGATCACATAATAATCAAGATAAGAAAGCTGGTGCTGGCTGTGTTATAATGGATAGCCAAGGAGAATTTGTTGTTGCTGCTGCCTATAATCTTACTCAAACTTATCGCGAATATTGCGACGTTGCTATTGTTGAGGCTGCTGCTCTTTGTATCGGGTTGAAGTTGGCAAAAGACCGTAACCTCAACCTCAATCTCATTAAAGGGGATAGTACGGAGGTCATTGATCGTGTCTTGGACCGTAGTCGAAGGCCATCTAGGCCACCTTTAAGCAGGATCATTCAACAAATTATTGGACTGATCGATGGCCAGAATATCGTGATCATTCGTAGAGAAGCTAATCGAGTTGCAGATAAGTTGGCGTATTGGGGGTGTAGCAGGCTTGAAGAAGGGGGTCGTGAGTTCTATACCACCTATTTTGATCTTCCTCCTCAGGTCTGTTGATCTCTTAATTGACTATTTTGCCTCTTCTTATGTTAATAATTTTGATGCCAACGTTTGTACGGTTGACTTATGTTTTATTTTAATCACGCTGTTCTTATTGTTAATCAGTTCAAACTATGCAAAAATCAACTTAAAATAGGAGGCGACATCAATTTTTTTTTTATCATATTAATTAGAGAGATTTAGACCAAATCAAATCATATCAAACCACTAAAAATGAAGGGAAAAAAGTCTTATCAGAATTTATTAAGTCAAACTAATTAACGTACGGAGTAAAAGTTTTCCATTCGTTTAATTACTTCAATAATACCATTCTCTTTTGCATTTATTTGGTCTCATAAAAGTTTGATTTTTGCAAACTTTACACAATTTAGTTTTTTTCCTTTTATAATATCTCAATTAACTACATGTCATATCATCAACACATAAAGAGTAAATTGTTAATGAAATTGAGAAAATAGATAAAGGCTACACATACAACTGTTGTATATGGTTCCTATATACAACCTTACTTTGTCATGTTTTTATTGGCTATAATAACGGGCTCATGTTCCATTACAATTCAATTTATATTTGAATTCTAATTTTCTCTCTTATTTTTTTAATAATGTGTCAAATTTCTAGTGGAGTTGTATGTAGGGACAACATACAATGATTGTATGTGCGTATCAGCTCTCTGATTTTGTTAAAGGACCAACCTCACCAAAAGTCCTAAAGATTAAGTTGATGCTTTGTGTCACGCTGACTCTGATACCATGTTAAATGATCAACTCAACCACTAATTTAACTTGATGGTTAAGACCTACAAATATGTTTTATACTCTACCAAATATTATATACGAAGTATGAAGTACATACACACCTAAAAATAATTAGTTCAACAAATTCATAAGTGCAGTAGCTGTACTGTAGGGGAATCTTGAATCAAGTTTATTTATTTTGATAACGTATATAAACCAATATCGGTCTTTAACTCTTAGCTTAACCTTTTGGTTGGTTGCGATGATCTCTTAACACATATCTTTGCTCATTTAATGGTGATAGGTGGCTGAGCTTATAAGGCAAGAAAAATCATTCAGCAACATAAGAGAAGAGGAGGATGATGGAGAGGGGAGTAGTAGCTTGGCCGAAAACATCGGTATGGCTGGATCCGCGGTGGCTGGAGTAGCAATGTTAGCATGGGGAATGTACAAGCTCGTGTCCGGTGAAAGCTCTTCAGATAAAGACGAACACAAGAATAAGGCAAAAGCACCTCAACCAAGGGAATTTATTAGAACCCTTGATTATGCATCTAATAATATGTCTCTAAATGATGATTACTATACCCTTCATTATAGTGGCAGTGATATAAATCAGCACCAAAACGGAGGTGCAGGATGCATAATTCGAAACAGATATGGGAAGCTTATAATATCAGCAACTTACAACCTTAATCATCTTTACCCTGTTCAATATAATATTGCTGTAGCAGAAGCAATAGCTTGGAGTAAAGGTTTGAAGTTGGCCGAAACCAAAAGGCTTAAACTTTTTCGCATAATAGGTGATAATAAGGAGGTCATTGATCGTGTTCGTGGCCAAGAAAAGAAGGCCCCTAAAGTCCCTTTGTTGAGTGAAATCGTGGGTGAGATTCGAGAGGCTTTGGAGAAGCATTCAATTAGCCCATGGAATCAGGTTGCACTCATTGGAAGAGATGAAAACAAAGTGGCTAATGAATTGGCATCCTTGGGATCTAAACTCGGGTGTTTAGGGGAAAAGAGTTATGGTAGTGATAACGTTCTTCCCTTTAAGTTAGACCAATTAATCCGTGAAGATGAAGTAAATATTAGGGGAAAGAACTTACTCATGTAACGTTCTTTATATATTTGTGTCGCGTTGTGTGTTTAAGGTGTAGGGCACATACTTGATGCTCTGCCTTTAAAGGGTGTATCCTAATTGACTGAAGCTAAGATACACTAAAGTAATGGGGTGCTACAAATAAATAATTTCTGCATGTATTAAGAGTTAATTATGAGTGAGTGTGTTATGAACTTGCATATGATTGATATGAAGTAATAAATAAAAGTTGGTTGTCTTTGCTTGAAGCCTTGAATGAAAGTATGAACTATGAAATATTACAAGTAATATTTGGCCTTCTGATGGTACAGTGTATATAACAACTTTGGAGGGATGACATAATATTATAGGTATGTTGATTAAGACAGACTAGAATAATGTAAGTTGAGGTTATTGTAAAGAGACTTCCAAACATTTATACATTTTAAAATTGTACTCGTACTTCAAAGATATATATAGTCAAAGATTTGAGAGATTAATTTGGCCTGACATAGATTGCACAACCAATTGCACATTTAACTGAATTGACTCATCACAGATACAAATAGACCGACTTGAAAATGAATTTGGTCAAAGTTAATGCATATTTCATTATAGTTAGGGCCTGTTTTCATAGACTGGACTGAACTGAAATGAAATGAATATTTTATAAGAGAAGGAAATTAAAAACTGAATTGAAAATAAACATATGAGAACAGACCCTTAATGGGCAACGAATCTAAAAGTAACTCAACCCGAATTTATTACCAGATCCAACCTACACGATCTAAACCAAATTACTTGTTACTTTGAAATGACCAGACTTGTATTTGAATTGAATAATTGTTTACCACTTCTACATAAGTTAAACAACTTGCCTAGTCATTGGCCTTTCAATTAAACAAGAAAATAAGCGTAAAATAATCTCGGGTATATCCAAGCAAATATTATAGAGACTTTATTCATTATGTATAGGCCTTGGTCTTGGCAATTCAATATGCTGCACATCAAATAACATTGCAGCAGAATTTCAACAAGTTGGACACTGTGAAGGATCAATTTCCTATGGTTCATTTGCTTTAATTCATCTTATTAATTGGAATCTGAAGCAATTACAAATGTAACTCATCACCCACACAACATTTTCTCTCATTTACATCTTTCATGTCATGATATATTGATATAAAAATTCCTAATAAATAGCAAAAAAAAAAACCACCTAGTTTTATTGGCACCTCAAATAGATCACATCTCACATTAAATTATTTTGCATCTCTTGCTCATCTGTAAGGTAAGTAAAATACTATCAGCCTCCTTTTTGAATACTATAGAAGTTTAAAATGTACTTTTTTTTTTGTTTTTTTTTTTGTTTTTTAATGAATTGCTTAATTTATTTGAATGATGTTTTCTCTGATTTGCTCTATATAGGAGTTTGAATCTTTTGCTTCACATTTTATGTATCATGTATGTGCTACTTTTGTGGATTAGTTGCTATCGGTACTTTTTAAATTTTATCTGTTAATAATTTAAGATATTATGGTTAAAGTAATGAACTGACAAACTAAGCATGCAAAATCTAAGTGTTTCATGCATATCATAATAAAACAAAGTGATTATTAAACATAAAGCCTTGTTTAACATTTTCCTAGCTAATATACTTTGTATTATAACTAATAGAGAATATGCATAGAATATCTTTATGATATCCTTACCTATCTTGTTGACTTGTTAGTTACCTAATATAATTAGGACGACTTTTATATTATTCTATAAATATTGATCAATGGAAATCATTATAATAGTCCTAGCTAACAAATTTGTTGAATATGTCTTCGTGTGTAGGTAAAAGCGGAATAAAGAGGCCGATCACTCGATCAGATGACAAGAAGTGAGTATTCATCAAAATGTGGCATGAGTTCATCAGGAAAATCAATGTATCCACTCAATTTCGACGTATCATATAACAATCTAGCCGATCACTCAATTTCCTGCACAGTAAACACACGTAAACTAGCCTCGTGGGTGTTGCCGAGGAAGGCCCCTCCGATGCTAAAGTCAGTACAATGTGTAGAAAGAGAACACTATGCAAGAGAATTAGTTGCTTGAGGCTTTTCTTGAGTTATGAGAATATATGAGAATATGTGAATGAATGTGACTATATGAATATTGATGGCTTTTATACCTCTTCATACATGGAGAAGTTGGGCCTTAGCCTAATTGGCTTGCTTTGAGGGCTGACCTTTGACTTTAGCACAATTGGAGAGTTGAACCTTGACCTTGGGCTTTTAATTGGATCATTTAATGCCTAGGCCCAATTGGACTAAATTGGACCCAAACAACTTGCCCCCCAGACCCGATTCGGAAGGATGACGGGTCGGGTTTGATTTAATTCAAAAAAGGAGGGAAGTAAATGATTTAATTAATCCAAAAATTTGAATTTAAACCGTAATTAATGAGATAACAACGGTTAAGGCGGATGATTGTGGAAGTTGGACGGATAATGGGCAGTTTAATCGCAAGGTCGTGTGTTTAACGGTTACTTAGTGGGGTATTTAAGAGAAATTGAAACGCGGACTCCCCGTATTCCCATTTCTGGAGATATAATCAGAGGCGCGTCATCTCTCCTCACTTATTCACCAACACAAACCCAGAATTCTCGAGAGAACCCAAGAACCCGCATCAAAACTTCGCGAATTCCCCGAGCATTAAGCTTAGAAACTGAGACTTGCCACTACGAACTCGTAAATCGGCAACTTTCGCTTCAGATTAAGGTAAATTCCTTTGATTTCAGTTTATTTTTGTTCGAATTCGAACTCCTTCCCTTTTTTTTCGACTTTTTTCTTCGAAATAATCAATGGCAAGAGGAGTTAGAGGTAGAGCCCGTGCTCCAAGAAGAGCAAGGCCAATTCCCGATCCTAGGAACAGGATTGGGACCTGGAATGGACAAAGGCCAGAGTCTGACCCTGCTGAAGGGATTAGGGCGACTTCAATTTCCTCGGCTCCTCCTCAGAGAACGGAGGGGCTGAGCGCTTCTGGACGAGACGATGAAGTTCCCGCTGTCCTTTGGGATATCCTCCCCGGGTTTTCAGAGTGGGAGAATGCCGAAGTAGCTTCGGCCATGATAAAAAACCGCCCCTACTCATGGTGGGTGGAGAATGCCGAACAATATCGGTTTGCCGAGCAAATTGAGTTGCATTACGGCATTTTTGAAGCTGATGGGTATTGGTGCCGAATGCCCGTGGTATCCGATAGAATCCATCGTCCACCCCCGGGGTACGTGGGGGTGTACACAAGACAGCTTCAGTATGGGCTGAGGTTCCCTTTGGACGTATTCGTCCGAGACTTGCTGATCCATTACAATATCTCCTTATGTCAGCTAACTCCCACCAGCATCCGAAGGGCGATGACATACTTATGGGTCTGCAAGTTCTTCAAGTATGTGCCGAACCTGCACTGCTTCAAAAAGCTTCATCGGCTAGTGCCAAATATTCAAAGTGGGCACGGAAGCCATGGTTCTGGGTGGTACCGGATTGAGTCTCGGCCCCAGTACCTGACCATGTGGCCGAACGACTCTTCAGACAAGGACTGGAGAGGTCAATGGATTTGGGTTAGGGCACCCACGGACCCGGGCCACCCTTGCGTCTTCAGCGCTCCCCGGTACCTTGCTGAGCCTGATCCCGACATGGGAAGTCTAGGTCCCCCCGCAGATAACGGGCCGGATCCGAACCTTGATCAACAAAATATCTTCGGCAAGCTGCCGAACCGGGGGGGCAGCGGCCGAATGCAGCATATCCCGGAGACTTGGCTCCCCGATACGCATTATGTTTTCCAAGAGAACATGCTAGCAGCTGTTGGCCTCAGCCGAAAGTTTAAGGATGGTAAGCTTCTTCGGCTGGGGCCGAGGCTTTTTAATTTTCTCTTTTTCTCCTCTCACTTCGCTTTTTATGCTGTGCCAACCTAACTCAACTGACCTTTCCCCTTTTCTTTTTCAGAGCGGGACGAGACCAACGTCGGCATTAACTACGCTCGCCTTGGTGTCAACCGAGAACGAGTTGTAACTGATCGGGCCCCGTCTATCACTGAACCGAGGCATAGGGAAGTTCATCTAGACTCTTCCCACTTCCAAATTGAGGCTGTTGCTCTGTATCAGAGGCAGAAGCCTTGGTGGAAGAAGAGAGACCCCTGGTTTCAGCTGCTGGACGAAGAAGCTGAAGCTGCCCGTACGGCCGAAGGGGTTGCACGGGTTCTCGAAGCTTGCGAAGGAGGAGAAGGGTCCTCCAGAGCTGCTGAAGAAGAAGCTGCAGCTAGGGCAGCTGAAGAAGACGAGGCTTTGCTGAAGACCTCGGTGAGCTTTCAGACTTAACTTTGTCTTTCTTTTATTTTTATTTTTTTTTTTTTGTTTTTTTGTACTCACATTCTTCCTCCCCCCTGTCTGTTACAGTCTGAAGAGAGTAACAGACACAGAGAAGGGAAAGCCCCTGTTCGTCCCGAAGACCAAATACAAGAAGAGTCTTCAGACTCAGACATTGACGAGCAGCCCCTTCAGAAAAGGCGCCGAAGAATGGCCATCATCGGGCCGCATGACTTTCAGCGGAGGCCGATGACCACCGGCGTTGAAATAGGGGAACCCGAGGAAGGCAATGGATCGCCGAGGGTTCCCCGTCTACAACCTCAATCACCTCAAAAGACCCCTCCGCCACCTCCTGAGATGGAGGTGGATCAGAAAACTCCCGAATCTAAGGGAGGGGTCCAAGAAGAAGTTCAGGAGAGTGCTGCTGAGCACAAAAAAAAGGATGCCGTGATGCCCAGTGCTGAGGGTTTCACGACAGACATTGCAAGAGAGGTTGAGGCTTTCGTCCTCACCCCTGAAGAAGAAGAGGTCATAGTAATTGACTCTTCTGAGAAGGATGATGCTGAACCATCCAAAGCTAAAGAAGCTCCGTCATCATCCTTTCCTTCCTTCCAGACTCTGCAATCTGGAGAAATGGGTTTCTCGGCCCCCCGAATTCCAATCCCAGATCACATCTGGGACCTCATATGGGGTCAGAACCGAGAAGGTGCTGCAGCCTACTTCGGCGATTTTGCTGGCATGTCCGAAGTAGATAGGGCAAGAATCTGGTCGCTGAAGGCCACTGCTGGGATGGGCGAATCCAGCAGATCAGTTCCTGACCCAGCCAGGTCTAACCAACTGCTGATGATGCAGGTGATTTTCCTTGCCTTTATTTCCTCTAAAATTCAACTCTATTTTTATTTACCTTTATTTTTTTTAACTTGTGC